ACGTGCTCGTTGAGTTTGTGAACCAGGATGGGAAATCATTCCGAATAAACGCTCATTAATTGGCTTAAAACATCTTAATATATAGAGAACTGCAGAGCTTGGGCAATTGTTGGTAGCGCCGGCTCAACCTGGCTGCTACTTTGCGAGCTCGTCTGTGGTTCCAAAGCAACTATGCGTTATATCAGACTAGACGCAATTATGATAACTGTTATATATGTAGTTAACACCCACTACTGTTTGTATTATGCTCTCAGATAACCAGATTAAAGCCTTTTTAGGATTTGTAAAGTTCACGATGAATACCCAAGGCTCAGATAGGCAAAGGCAAATTCATGATTCGGAGGGTACATTATTGTTATCCAAGACTCGCATAGATCAATGTACGTTTGGGATTCCTATGGGGGGGGGGTCTCAGTTTCGAGGTGAGTTTCACAGAGACACCTTCAGGGTTATTGTGATTCAGCGTTAATAGCCGAGGATCAGAGAGGCACATGAAGTCACGGGTGTCAATCTAAGGATTTAATACCACTCAAGGCGCATGTATACACCACACCTGGTCCATACAGTGCATTGTTAATTCCAGAGGCGTATACACGGACTAAGAAAGATATCCCCCTATAGCCACACAGGCTGTAATGTTGGCGAGCACCTATTAAGGTCGGAGAGGCACACAAGCAGGTGGCGGTGTGGCCATGAACACGCCCAGACGCCTCGGTTTCCCCCGAGCGCCGATGTCTAAACACAACAAGACCGGTACTCGTTTAAGGCTGAGTCGACCTAGGGCCGTATCAGAGATCACCCGCCGCTGATGTTAGCTCAGTATTGGGTCTAGAAGCTAACGCTCTCCCGGAATGTCAAGATTTATAAATAGGGTTCAATACACATCAACAATTCCATGCATTTTCTCTCGTTCATACCAATAAGACACTCATTTACAGGATGCCAAGGGGTTGGGGATTGAACACCACCCCCTTTCTCGGTAGCCGTGCCAGGGGAACCATCGACAGAACTCAAATCGCGAGGTTCGTGCAACGCGCGTGCAGTGCGCTAACCACTGCGCCACCGCTCAAATCTGAATTCTACATCGTCGTGGCGGAGTTGTTGTGCCTCTCGTCTATTTAATCTGCCCCCTTCCTCTTCTTTCGTCTCGCTTGGAGGCGGGTACAGGGAGGTGATGAGATTGTGGTTCGTTATTGCGGCAGGCGTTGCAGGCAGACGCGGTGGCTAGGAGAGATGTTAACTACCTTGCCTGGTATGCAGGAGGTCGTGGGTTCGATCCCGTAGATTTGGAGTTTGCAATGTGTCTCTCTCCCCGTGGTCCCGTGGATTTTTTTTTCGGGTCCTCCGGTTTTTCCCTCCACATTTATAACCAACACGCGTTTTATAGAATTTGGTTGCTGTAAATTTCAGGTCACTTCTAAAAAAAGAAATAGTTATATATAGCTCAGTGTGGGTTTTTCCTGGTAGAATAAAAAAAAATGTAACAATTTAGTTTAGAGAGGCAGGCCAGTCAGCCCCGGCTTTTGAGTGAGTGACTCTGCAATGAGAACCTGGAGCAGCAGCAGCAGCGGCAGCTAACATCCCTTCTCGAGAAGAGCTCTCTAATCCCATCGTAATGAGCTCTCCGCCTAATACCCATCGCATCGGCGAGCCTTTGTGTGTCCCGTGTGCGAAGAGCTTCCAGAGAAGGGGCCTTCGATTCATTTATTGCATCGCTTTGTCTTCTTGTGTGGAGTTTTCTCCCGCTTGCCGTTATTGCATTCGGCTTGGATGAGAAGGAGAGAGAGAGAGGCAGGGAGCGAGAGGATAGAAAAAGAAGTTTTATCCGCGCTGTCACTCACCCTGGAAGGAAATGAACACCCCTTGACTGTGGCTGCGCGTAACGGTGGAGGGGAGATTGTGGAATCCGCGATTTGAAATCGTGTTTCATTATCCGCGTCCGTTTTTTTCCTAACACGTTGGTTTGTATTGGGCGAGGGCGGGATCGTCGAGTGATCAACGCTAAAGCAAAAACCGCTAACCGCTTTCAGAACCGATGAGTCGGCAAGCCGGCATCAATATCCGGTGGAGTCTGAGTCGTGAATGAACGAACTGAGTGGCGTCGGCGAACGTACACACGGCACGGCGGCGTAAGTCACCGCGTGGCACGTTTGCCTTAAATGTTTACGGTTGAAAAGTTAAACAACGCTACCGTGAGTCGCTAGATACATTTCGATTCGTGCGACAAACCGGTAACCGTTATAACCGTGTTTTTTTCTTTTTGTAAGCGGTTACCGGTGACGCAATTTAACCTGTTTTAACAGCCCGAGCATGTCTGTTTGGCGTATGTATACATGTGTGGTGTGTATGTATGTCTTGTATTGTAGTGGGTGGATGCATACACACATACACGTGTATGTATACATGTGTGGTGTGTATGGATGTCTTGTATTGTAGTGGGTGGATACATACACACATACACATGTATGTATACATGTGTGGTATGGATGTCTTGTATTGTAGTGGGTGGATGCATACACACATACACGTGTATGTATACATGTGTGGGGTGTATGGATGTCTTGTATTGTAGTGGGTGGATGCATACACACATACACGTGTATGTATACATGTGTGGTGTGTATGGATGTCTTGTATTGTAGTGGGTGGATACATACACACATACACATGTATGTATACATGTGTGGTATTGATGTCTTGTATTGTAGTGGGTGGATGCATACACACATACACGTGTATGTATACATGTGTGGGGTGTATGGATGTCTTGTATTGTAGTGGGTGGATACATACACACATACACATGTATGTATACATGTGTGGTATGGATGTCTTGTATTGTAGTGGGTGGATGCATACACACATACACGTGCATGTATACATGTGTGGTGTGTATGGATGTCTTGTATTGTAGTGGGTGGATACATACACACATACACGTGTATGTATACATGCTCTCTATTGGCGTGTTGGACACACACACACATACACGTGTGTGCGTGTGTGTGTCTTGACATTTAACGATCACATTCCCACATCCCTGCTCTCCGCTCAGCGACCCGGTCTCGTCTGTCGCTTTTCGTTTCATTCCGCATGGCTGCGTGGGGGCACGGAAGGAGTGGGGGGGGGGGGGGCTCAGGAGGGGCAGAGAACCCCTGGGACACGCGGGGGAGCATTCAAGCCACCAGCAGTGTGTGTGTGTGTGCTGGAGCGTGCGTGCGTGTGTGTACATGTGTGTGTGCGTGTGTGCGTGTGTGTGTATGTATGTGTTGGAGTGTGTGTGTGTGTGTGCTGGAGCGTGCGTGTGTGTACAGGTGTGTGTGCGTGTGTGCGTGTGTGTGTATGTATGTGTTGGAGTGTGTGTGTGTGCTGGAGCGTGCGTGTGTGTACAGGTGTCTGTGCGTGTGTGTACAGGTGTGTGTGTGTATGTATGTGTTGGAGTGTGTGTGTGTGCTGGAGCGTGTGTGTGTACAGGTGTCTGTGCGTGTGTGTACAGGTGTGTGTGTGTGTGTGTATGTGTTGGAGTGTGTGTGTGTGTTGGAGCGTGTGTGTGTGTGTGTACAGGCATGTGTGCGTGTGACTGACTCATCCACAAAATTGAGTACCCGGTGGCATGTGTAAACATCGCCAATGGGGAGACAAAGGCGGCCCAGCGTGGTGCTACTGACCACCCACTCCCTCGTGTGCCGTGCCGGTCTTCAGAGATGCTCGCTAATGGCACTTGTCCCAACAGTCTGTGAAGGCTATACGCGGGATCTTTGTCTATGTGTGTTAATGTCTATGTGAATGTGGGGAGCGGTAGTGTAGTGTTCAGCGCGTTGTGCTACGAACCACGCCGATTCGAGTACGATTCCCACTCACGACCAACAACAGTGGCGATTATCTGAACCGGTCCTGGGCCTGTCCTAGGTCGACTCGGCCTTAAATTAGTTCTTGGGGCGATGTAGAAACATGGGAGACAAAGGCGGCCGGGCGTGGTGCTGGCCACTACCTTCCTCGTGTTCATAGGTGCTCGCTTACAGCACTTGTCCCAACAGCCTGTTAAAGGCTATACAGGGGATCTTTGTCTTTATGAACATTTGTTTGTAACAAGAATACAAACACGCGTAGTACACGAGATTTATATATGTAAAACAAAAATTGTTTCATACCATCAGCTGCATGCGTACCATATCAGTGGGACCCCATTACAAGATTGCCACGAACAAACAGAATCTTAAAAGGCTCGTACACAGCCACAAGCCAAGGCGCAAGTTGCACGGAGAGTTTCAAAGTTGGCAAAGTATGAGTGGCGCGATGTTGGCCTCTGCGTTGTTTATTTCATAACCCTGCGGTGTCTCGGGCGCGTTTGTTGGGCGACGTTTCAAATCAGCGCATCCGAGCAAAGAGGCGCTCGCTCTCGCTCTCTCTCTCTAATCGATCGCTCTTTTGAAGGCCACTCGCTCGGCCGGCCCCTGCGCCAATTTCTCACGGTTCAATGCCCGCCTCTGTTCGACATAATCCGAGGCTGCTGCTAATAGTGAAGAAAATAAAAGAGAAACCCCCGCGCAAAACGAACGCGTAAGCAGGTGGTGGTCTCGGCAACATCGCTCCTGAAAAATAAACTTGAGTCTCAGTGGGAGTTTTAAATGAGACATAACGATGATGTTGATTATGCTGATGGTGATATTGATATTGATGCTACAACTGCAAGTGATTGTGATTATGTTAATGATGCTGCTGCTGCTGCTGCCGCCGCTGTTGCCTCTGGCATGGCATTAACGACGTGACATGGGGGGTGGACTACATTCGAATTGCTAATTTATGGTAATAAAACTCACAGTCAAACGGGCGAGTCGCGTGTGGTGGCCTCGAGTGTGGGTATTCTCATTCCTACCGAGACGTCTGTCCGGCGTGAAAGAGTAGGCCAAAATAGCGGGAGCCCTTCTGCCACCAGTGGCGTGCGCGAGAAATTGCAGTGCTGCGCCTTTGCCCGCCCCACAATGAAAACTCCGTCTCACCGTTCGAATCTCGAACCCGCACCGTGCAGGTCACCTGCGGCTCCGTCTCCCGATCCAAAGTCCTCGCCGTCACGACCTGCCCCGTGGCCCCATCCACGGCCAGGGCCTGTGCCGGGTGAGTGCCCGTCTGGTCGGCAGGGAGCTGCGTGAGCCACGGGTGTAGCTGCTGCTGGTGGTGGTGGTGGTGGTGATGGTGGCCGTGTTCTTGGGGCTCAGGCACGAGCTCGAACCTGGCTAGGAGGAACCTGCCCTGTGGAATCCGCGCGACGGGAGATCCCGGGCGGGCATCTTCTGAAACCTCGGCGCTGAGATTGAGCGTTGCCGTGGCTCGCCTGGGGCTGAGGCAGAGAGAGAGAGAGAACGACAACCCCCGTAGAGAGACGTTGTGGTTGTTGTTGTACACATTGATCAACACACTCCCCAGTAGCGCGACCCGAACAGCAAACAACTGTGTGTATATATATATAACACTGGCACGTATGTATGTTGAGCTTCTTTCGCACCGTACTTTTGGCTCGCCGTCGAACAAAGACGGCCACTGCATCGAGCGCTTCCGCGGCCGTCTGGAACGCTCTCCCGATAGTAGGGAGCCACTGGAGCTCTGCACTTTTAAATCTAGATTGACAAACTAATTTCTTCAGAACTGTTTTTGTGTGTGTTTAGTTTGTTGTCCTTCCCTTGCACGTCCAATGAGCGCACTTGGCTACGTACGGCGCGAAAGAAGTCCAATAACATACCTACCTACGTAGCCAACCATGCTGATCGGAGGTGCGGGATAAGGACAATGAATTAAACACAAAAATCAGTTTTCAGGAGATGGAGCTATTAAATCAAACTTTCATCCAGCAGTGGATCGACCATGGCCAATACTGATTATTATATTGTATACTGGGCAATTACCCGTCTCCGTAGCATTTCTGCGATGAGTAAGAGTCATTGTCCGAAACGTCGCCAATTGTACCGTTTTTGTTTCCTCTTAGGATCATTGCGTTATTGACATGGAACCGCAGAGTGGCCGTTTGCAGACCGTACACACGGACACACAGCCGGTGATGAACACACTTCCAACAACACACGTGGGGGCGAACCCGTGGGTGTACCGCCTCCTGTGAGCCTTAGCGTTGACTACCTCGCCTGGTAGGCGGGAGGTTGTGGGTTCGATCCCAACCCTGACACCTGCTGTATATTTGGAGTTTGCGTATCTCTCTCTCATCATCATTACGGTGGCTAGGAGATGTTAACTACCTCGCCTGGTATACAGGAGGTCGTGGGTTCGATCCCAACCCTGACGCCTGCTGTATATTTGGAGTTTGCGTCTCTCTCTCTCTCATCATCATCACGGTGGCTAGGAGATGTTAACTACCTCGCCTGGTATACTGGAGGTCGTGGGTTCGATCCAAACCCTGACGCCTGCTGTATATTCGGAGTTTGCGTGTCTCTCTTTCATCATCATCACGGTGGCTAGGAGATGTTAACTACCTCGCCTGGTATGCGGAAGGTTGTGGGTTCGATCCCGACCCTGACACCTGCTGTATATTCGGAGTTTGCATGTTCTCGCTCTCTCTCTCTCCACGTCGTCGCCTGGATTTTTCTCAGGGTGCTCAAGTTTTCTCCTTCACATTTAGAATCAACACCAGGCGTTTAGAGTATTTGGCTGGTAGTGGTGGTGGTAGCGGCAGTGGCGGTGATGGTGGCATACGGGCACACGGCTCAGGTTCCCATAGGAAATGAATTACAGTCCGGATCACGATTTGCATTTATATGACGCTCAGACGGGCGCTGTCACCCCACGGCATCTCTCTGCGCCGCGCAGCGAACGCGCGAGCAAAAAGGAACAAGATCGCGACAAACGTCGCGGATTTCGTGGTAATCGACATCAACCAATCATGATGTACCCACTGCCGAATTAAGAGACCTTCCCCAAGCCCCCGCCATCCACCCTCGCACGTGCACATCGCTCCATCTCCGCGATGGACGTTGCTCTCGAGTGCGCGTTCCCCGACTTCGGCTGCTCAATGTCGTCTTCAGTGTCGACCACCGGATGGTATCGGTCCCTTCTAGACGTGCCGCCTCCTGCCCAAGGCCCCCCACTGACTCTTCTTAAACAGTCAATCCAGGGCCTACCTTGGCTCCTCCCACCCTCAACCAGTATATATATACAAGGACTGTTTTCTTGGAATTTCTCTTACTTGATACAGCTATCGTGCTGTGACGGTTCCACCTGAAGACGGAAGCTTGTGTTGCCTCCGAAACGTCATGATTTTTATTTTTTATTTTTATTTTATTTTTATTTTACTTTGATTAATTTAATTTTTTTACCTACGTGACTTTATCGAAAAAAACCTAAGAATATGAATCCTTGCAGTCACGAAAGCTTCAAATCTAGAATCAACGTGACCACGCCTTTCATCTGCGTTCCATGAGGAGTGGATTTTAGTTGGACGGTCAAACAAACCGGCACGTATGAAACTTGATTTGAAGCTTTTGTGACTGCAGGAATTACTCTTTTGGTTCTTTCGGTAAAGTCACGTAGAAAGAAAATAAATTAAATAATAGAGTACGACGTTTCGACTGCAATACAAGCAACCGTCATCAGGTACACCTATGAAGGCCGGCACAGCGCACGATGGGGGTGACGTGGTGGGTACAACTGCCGGCCGCTTTTGTCTCTCTAGTGGCGATATTTACACATTGCAAGAGGTACTAAATTTAGTCTGAGTCGACCTAATGGAGGCACATGACCCGTTTAGATAATCACCGCTCCCCACGAAGTAGACACAAGACAAAGGTCCCCCGTGTAGCCTTAACAGACTGTTGGAGCAAGTGCTGTTAGCGAGCACCGATGAAGGCCGGCACGGCGCACGAGGTGGTGGGTGGCCAACACCACGCCCGGCCGCCTTTGTCTCCCCAGTGGCGATGTTTACACATCGCACCAGGTACTCATTTGAGACTGATTCGACCTAGGGGAGGCCCAGAGCCGATTCAAATAATCGTCACCGGCGTTGGCCGTGAGCAGGAATCGAACTCGGGTCACCGAGTTCGTAGCGCAGCATAGCGCTAACCACTAAACTACCGCTGCCCCGCGAAGTAGACACGCACGCACAGACACACACACAGAGATACAAGCACGCACAGACACACGCACACACACACGCACAGACACACGCACGCACACACACACACGCATGCACAGACACACGCACAGACACACGTACACACACAGACACACACATAAACGGATACACGCACAGACACACACACAGACAGACGCACGCACACACACACGCATGCACAGACACACGCACAGACACACGTACACACACAGACACACGCACGCACAGACACACACAGACACGGACACACGCACAGACACACGCACAGACACACGCACAACAACAACAACAACCGCCATTCGCCACTAAGTGGCGGTGACGTCACCACGATGCTTGTGCCAGGCCAAGTGCACCTTGAGGCCACGTGAAGTGTCGAAAGCCCGCTGGCAGGAGGTCACGGGGCAGACCCAGCAGGTGCCACGGGTCGACTGACCGAGATGACCGAGATGACTGGCTGATGCACCACCTGTGCCCCCTACTGTGCCAACTTGCTGTGCTTTAGCCACCCGGCGCTCCGCTCGTTGTTGTGAGCGTCGCTCCTCCGCCCTCCGTTGTTGTTGGAGGGCGACTGCCTCCAACTGCCCAGTAGCGTCCTTCACGAGCCTCCTCCACTGAGGCCGATCTTGACACCGCTGGTACCAGTCATCGGCAAGTCCACTCAGCTCCACGTCCTCCTGTACCACATCACTCCATCTCTTCTCCAGCCCGTGCCGCGCCCGTCTAGCCCCCTCGATCCGGCCGAACAAAAGCTGTTTAGGCATGCGGTGGCTGGGCATGCGGGCTACATGACCCAGCCAACGCAGCCTTGCCTGCCGGAGGAGCTCACTGATGGGACTTTGCCCAGATCTTTCAAGGATTTGTGAGCTCCTCACACAATCCAGCCTGGTTAAACCCAGGATGGATCGTAGGCAGGCCAGCCTAAATGTTTCCAACCGGCGAAGATGCTCCACCAGGGGGGTCCACGTCTCGCAAGCGTAGAGAAGGGAGGGAATGACCGTGGCCGAGAAGACCTGAAGCTTCGTGCGGAGCGACAGACCAGGTAGCTTCCACACAGCGTTACGCAACCGATGAAAAGATATTGCCGCTCGACTGATTCGGAGTGAGACCTCTGCTGATAGACTGGAGCCGGTCATAAGCACACTGCCCAGGTATGGGAAACTCTCCACTCTCTCCACAACTGCCCCATCACCAATTGGGAGTTGTGGGGGTGGAGTGTCCGATGGTACAAAATACCCAGGCAGGTGCTTAGTTTTGGTGGGGCTGATGGTAAGGCCCCACCTCTTAGTGGCACGCTCCAGTCTCAGCAGCAGCGTCTCCAACTCCTCCTCTGAGTGAGCAGCTATTACCAAATCATCGGCATACATAACGTGGTTGACCAATAGGGAGCCATCCCTTGATCGCACCCGGGCGTCGATCAGCCTCCCATTATATCTGTACCAAATGGAAATTCCCCCGGTACAGCTATTGAAGGCTTCACGAACTACGCGGTCAAAATAGATGTTAAATAATGTGGGAGCCAGAGGACATCCCTGTCGCACCCCAAGGTGTACAGGGAAAGGCTCCGACTCCCGGCCACGTAGTTTTACCCGGGCCCGCTCACCATCATGAAGGTCCTTAATGATCGTGAGCAGAGGGTCAGGGACTCCGAAAGCACGAAGAACAACCCAGAGCCCAGGCCTACTGATGGTATCATAGGCCTTGACCAGGTCAATAAAGCAGAGATGTAGGTCTTTTTGGAATTCCCTACACCTCTGCTGTAGCAGACGGACAGAAAATATGGCATCTGTGCAGGACCGCCCTTTCCTGAAACCGCATTGGGGCTCCGCAAGCCTCTCCTCAGCGTGCCTAGCAAGGCGATGTTGAATAATCCTTGCCAGGACCTTACCCGGCACACTGAGGAGTGAGATGCCCCTGTAGTTGTTACAGTCGGTACGGTCCCCCTTCTTAAAGAGGGGAACCACCAGGGCATCCTTCCAGTCCTGCGGAACCCGTCCAGTGGTCCAGACTGTTGTTATGATGTCATATAGGGCAGTCTGTGCACAAACGCCACCCTCCCTCAGCATTTCGCTTGGGAGATCATCTCTGCCCGATGCCTTCCCTGGTCTCAGACTCCGGATCGCCCTCAGTACTTCCTCAACAGCTGGCACCTCCGCCAGCCACTCACAGGGGGTGACCTCTTCCAATATTTGAGGCACCGCAGCCTCAGCAGGGTTATCACCACTTTG